ATTTTAGTAAAAATCGGTTCAGATATAGCTATAGCTCCCATATATATCTTCATCCGATTTCGTGTTAATTGTGCATCAAATGGCCAATATAAGCCCAAATGGCATGAATTTTCGTACATAAGACCGAATTCAGTCTAGAAGCTAATACGTCAAATTTGGAGAAACCCGGTTCAGAGATAGCTATAGTTCGTAAAATGCACGATAGAATTAGATAGATTTTGATTTTGTACCAAATATCTCATAGAGCTCTGAAATGCCCTATATAAACCTTTTTACGAGAGCTCGACTAAATATGCATAGTGGTGTAGGGTATCATATAGTCGGCCCCGCCCGACTTTTGAGCTTTCCTTACTGGTTTGTTTTTAATTTGATATTTGGAGTTTGTAATGGGTACTACCGCCAATGAAAGAAAATTGCATATACAGGGTGAGATAAAAAACTGCAACAAAGTCAAACGCCATAATTTTTAATTTTATTGAATGAAAGCAAAAAATGTCGGAAATAGCATCAAATTTTAGAATAAGTTTAGATTTGTTCGAATTGGTTGTGGGCTGGAAATGAAGCGAGAAACCTCATTATATAAACATCAATTGGTCACCTTTGGCACGAATTGTGGCCTTCAAACGGCCATTGCCAACCTTGCTTTCCAAAATACTCCAGAAAAATAGGATTGGTATCCAACGGATTGGAGATTTTGGTGACCATTGTGGACTGGAAATGAAGCGAGAAACCTCATTTTATAAACATCCTTGGGTGGCGCGTGCTGAGGAAGATGTTGCTGAGTTCTGTTGGAATGCCCAAGGTCTGCGGACAAAGAGTTTGCGTACCCAAGGCTTTAATACACCCTCCAGAATATTTTTGCGTCATTTATTCTGATGCCACGGTCGATTAATACGAGCGGAGAGCGACCATCGGCTGTTATGGTGGCCCACACCATCACCACGGTCGGCACTTGAGTTCTGGTGACCAACCGAAGGTGCGAATTTTCACGTTGTTTATTTACAAACTGCTGGACAACGACAATTTTTCTCATCGGAGAAAACCAAATTCGGAAGTTCACCACTTTCTTTTCCTCTTTTGAGTCTATTTTCTTTCTGTTGCGGTGTAAGTTCTTGCACTTTTTGGAATTTCCATGGCTTAACCCCGAGCTCATTTTTCAATATTTTCGCAATGGAATATTACGATATGTTCAGCTAACGAGCCATTTTTCGGCCACTGTGACGCGGGTTTCGATCAAGTCGTTTCTTTACTCTTCGAACCATTTCTGCTGATGTTGCTGTTTTCTTCCGTCCATTTCTTTGACGTCAGGCTACGCTACCAGTATCATGGTAACGAGCGATGGTACAAGACACAAACGGTTTATTCACATTTAAAAGCTGGAGTGCTCTAACGATAGCCAATTCTGGTCTTCCAGCCACATATAAAGAAATCACACTATCACGCTGGAATTTCATCACGAATAACTTTTTTTCTGGAAAATTCTCACCAAAATGCTTTTGTACGCTTGTAAACAATATGATGAGCTGTCGCTGGAATAATTTTAACAGCTGTCGGTCGAGTGGCCTAGAAATGACAGCAGTCTGAAATTGGTTGCAGTCTTTTTATCTCACCCTGTATAGATCATCATCTTCTTAGGGCTCCCAAACTGTACCTACCAATATTATGTATAGGTTTGTTAATGACTTTAACCCCATTTTTCAACAGAATTTTATTAAATTTGGTATTTGTATTTCGTAATAGGCTCCATCTTCCCTGGCAGATAATTGGCTGTAGACTTGCACGGTTTCGTGTAGGCCCCTATAATCGACACTAAGATATTCGGTATTTTGACGATGTTAGCCAGACTCTTCACCAGAACTATTTCAAAATTCGAAATTTGGAGTTCTCCGTGGGAACTGCTTCCTTTCTTTAACATAAAATTCAAATTTATGTCTTCGTGTAGCCCCCACATAACGGTATCTCCAGATATTCGGTATGTTAATGATTTCAGCTACATTTTTCAACCAATTTTTTTAAACTTATTATTATATTATATTCTTGATCATGTCGATTTAGCAATGTCTGTCCGTCTATCTGTCTACCCGTCTGTCCGTCTGTGGAAAATTTACTCAAATGTATTATATTATTATATATTATGTCTGCAGGACTTTTGGTATTGATAATGGGCTGGTCCACGTCTTCGTATAGCCCCCATATAACGGTACCCCTGATATTCGGTATTTTGATGACTTAAGAGACATTATTTACCGGAATTAAATAGAAATAGAAATTTTTCTGTGCTGGTCCACGTTTTATAATCCTCATGGTACCTCCCTATATTCGGTATTTTGATGATTTTAGCTACATTATAAACAGATTTTTTTTTAAGTTTCGCATTTAAATATTGTAATAGCTTATGGCAACTCTTGCAGACACACTTTAATACAAAGTAGACTGTATGTATATCTTGCAAACCATTCAAGCGTTATTATTAAAAAACCATAATTGATTACACGATTCCATTATATTATACTTGTAAAAGACTACTATTAAAAGTAGCCAGAAGCACCAATTGTGTAAATATACCTAAAGTATTACAAAGTTGTTCACATCTTTGTTATGAACACTATATGTACCTAGCAACCAGACATAAGTAAATATGTACAAAAATCATCGGCTACATGCCTTAATGGCCAAATTCCAAATTTTATATTTAAGGCAGAAAAATAATTGATGCAGAAATTCCTGAGGTACCACGAAATACAGGACTATACCAAATGGAGGCAAAATCTAAATGCCAAATTACAGTTGATTTGGTCGGAAATTGTTAATTGAAAATTGAGGCATGCTTTATCGAATATCGAAACTCGAAATATACAAATATATGAAAGCCATACCTAAATGTAGGCCGATAAGGATAATTTTCTATGGAAAGTCAAAAGTAGGGGCCGAATATACGATACCCTACACCACTATGCATATTTAATAGAGCTCCCGTAAGAAAAGAATTAATTTCAAGTAAATTATACCACCTGTTTAACTCAGGGGAGTGGGGGAATGGGTAAAGGTGCGTTTCGAGAGTATGGTGATGGTGAAAAGAATTGAAGCACAAGAGATTATTAATAAATAATTCCAAATAGTTTCATAGCTTTATTGGTGGATTTGTCTTTTCGTATACAACAACAAAATTACCTTAGTAATTTGGGCTGGCGTCAGAGGACGGGTTAGAATCGGTTAGCGTGCGAGAAGTGTACTCTCCAACTACTGATCGACAATTGAACGCCGAGGTTCATGCAATCACAGAGGATCGCGGCGATCGCCGAGGATCTTTATCGATGCCTACTACTACATCTACAATTGTTTGCAATGAGAGCAGAGTATCGTATGCATCAAAGTGAGCTAACCAACAACCACCGCCCAGTGGCATCTGCGCTCTACGGTCTCCGCCGAGGAGATGCCCGTGGTGTCAATCAGCATCCGTGATTCACCGGACTCGGGAAGTTGAAGGCCAACTTAAACACCACCTATCTACATTTCGCTTTAGAGCAGAGGATACTAATATATGGGAGGCAAAATCGATTTTCACTAAATTTGACGGAGACAAATTTAATTTTCAACCTGAAATCGGCTGAAGAAATATATGGGAGCTATATTCAAATCTGAACCGATTTTGATAAAATTTGGCAGAGGTATTTCTGGGCTACATCTGATATCTGGTATCAAATATCATTATTGTGGAGTGCATATTACGAATGTGAGGAACTTTCACACAAAATCGGACAATGAAAGTCCGAGTGAGTGAGTCAATCTTTTTCGTGTCGCATCTGATCCAATTCTGATGGCACCAAAAAGAGTAGGCCGACATATTCCATATATACACTAGATTTAATGTTGAAAAAAAATATTGAGAATCGTTGATGAGAGTTATAATTAGTCAAAATTTTGACCCCTTGTAGGGGATCATGGGATAGGATTTAACGACTAGCTCTAATGTAGGTAAATACATTGCCTTGAGCGAAGCTAGAAGAAACGTCGAATTATAATTTAACATTTTATGAGAGTTATAATTATTCAAAATTTTGACCTTTAGTTCTTTCCCCATTGGAGTACAAAATTTTGAAAAACTACAACTTTCAACAGAAGTATTGGTTCGAATAATCCCATATTCACATCAGACCTCGGGTTGAGTGAAACATTGAGGGTAACAATCATTGAAAATATTTCCCCATTTGTGGAAGAGTTACAAGAAGGAGGTGTTCCCATATACCATCTTCACACAAGTTAGTGTGCTGATAAAAATATTGATATACGCTTAATTAAGTGTTATGATTACTCAAAATATTGAACCATTTTGGGAAAGGTACTTGATGGAGTTGGCCAAAAATTTAGCAAAATCGTAAGAAGCTTCCTCTTTCTCTGAGCTAATTTATTTTCTGTGAAAAAGTTGATCTTTTGTGGGGGAGTTTGGAGTAAACCCATTTTACTCATTTGCGAACTCAATCTATGTTTGATAATAATTTTACGACGTATCAAGTTTGGGCCATATCGGATACTCCCTTCGAGAATGGTCGTGAGCACCAGCCAGAGAGACAGACAGACAGACGGACACCGCTATATCAACTCCAAATGTCCTGAGGCAAAGGATGCAAACCCGTTATTTCGATGAGGTACAACTGCAGTTCCAATATTATCGCACGTATTACTCATAAATAGTAATCCACCTATAATCGAAAGTACTTACATACTGTTAGTATGTATATTCACTTCTAACGGCAGACTCAGTGGTGGGCGAATTCTATTTTTTACAACAGACATTTAATGTAAATAGATATGTACGCCTGGAAACAATAGTGTCTGAACTGAATTCACTTGTACTATTTGTTCGAATTCAAAATAAAGAAATTAAAAGTGAAAACCTATTTGATATTCATAACCCGTCCGATGTACTTCATATCTGCTGCTCCTCGGCGTTGTGTAATAATTTCTATGTTTGCACAAAATTCTGTATAAAGATGCACCCCGATGCGAAGGTAGGCATCAGTTGTTTAGCCCACGCTTCAACTATAGAACCCAACTAGGACATTAGGAAGAAGTAGAAGTAAAGAAATATGGTCCAGTTTTCATTGTTCTCTGGAATTTTATTGGCATCCCTGGCTTTGGCCAAGGCCACCGATTATTGTTCTCCTTCGCTGTGCAAGGAGGGCGTTAATCACATTGCCTGTGGCCACGATGGAGTAAGTCTTAATAGTCATACCTAAGCCTTCTTTAATAAAACTTAAATTTTATTTCAGGAATTATCTGAAGTCTGTCCCTCCGATGCCAAATTAGTCGAAATTGATGATCAATTGAAGGAGGTCTTAGTCAATGCCCACAATGCCAAACGTAATCTAATTGCCGGTGGTGAGGAGGAGAAACATGAGCCTGCTTGTCGTATGGCTACCATCCAATGGGACGATGAATTGTCGCTATTGGCTGCCCTAAATGTCCTGCAGTGCGATATGAAACATGACCGATGTCGCAACACTGATGATTTCAAATATTCCGGTCAGAATATTGCCTGGTTGGGTTATCATGGTGCAGCTAACGATGCAAGCCTCCTGGAAAAGGCCGTGGACTTCTGGTACAGTGAGGTGGCCGATAGTAAAATGGATTACATCATTAAATATCCCAAGAATTATACGGGACCGTGAGTTTTTAAAAAGGTAGGTGGATAATTCTGACTTACCTTCATTGTTTTGTATTTTTAGAGCCATTGGTCATTTCACCGTCATGGTGGCTGATCGTAATGTTCGCGTTGGCTGCGCCGCTGCCACTTATTCGGTTGAAGGTGAAACGTATAAAGCTTATTTGGTGACCTGCAATTATGCCACAACGAACATGATTAACTTCCCCATTTATGAACGTTGCGATAAGGCAGCTGAATCCTGCACCACCGGCGCCAATCCTTCGTATCCGAATTTGTGCTCAACAGCTGAAGAATATGCAGTCAACAAATGGTTTTGAAAATTTTTTGTGAAATTTTGAAAAATTTTAATTGAAATAAAAAAATTGTTCAAAAGCAGAATTTCTGATATTCTTCGATTTTGAACATTGAAGGGTTTTATATGCCGATTTTCAAATAGTACAAAATAGTACTATATTTCGTACAATTTGGTATTGGGTGAACAAATAGTGTTTGAAATCTGAAATTTTGTATTAGAGTTGCTGTTCATGTGTAGCCTAGATATATGAAGGTGGTTTGGAAAATGTGTACTATAATTGTACGAAAAGTACTGAATGGTACTATATTTGGTATTGGGTGAAGAGATAAAGATAAAATTCAGAAATTTGATATTTAGATTACTGGTGGTATGATGTGTTTGGGATTTGGCGGTGATTTGGAAATGTGTCCTACATTTGTACGAATAGTACTAAATGGTACTAAATTCGGTATTAAGTGAAGGGATGGGGCTATAATTCTCAAATTTGATATTTATGTCTCTGTTGGTCTGGGATTGAGATATGGAGGCGGTTTTGAAAATGAATTATAATTATACGAAAAGTACTGAATGGTACTAAATTTGGTATTGGGTAAAGGGACAAGGCTGGAATCCTCAAATTTGATATTGAGGTAGCCGTTGGTATCTGGAATTGAGATTTGGCGGTGGTTTTGGAAATGTGTACTTTAATTGTACGAAGAGTACTGAATGGTACTAAATTTGGTATTGGGTGAAGGGACAAGGCTGGAATCCTCCAATTTGATATTGAGGTCTCCGTTGGTATCTGGAATCGAAGGCGGTCTTGGAAATTAATTGTAATTGTACGAAAAGTACTGAATGGTACTAAATTTGGTATTGGATGAAGGGACAAGGCTGGAATTCTAAAATTTCATATTGGTATCTGGAGTTGAGATATGGAGGAGATTTTGAAATGCGTCTTATATTTGTACGAAAATTACTAAATGGTACTAAATTTGACATTATTTGAAGGGATAGGGCTGGAATCCTCAAATTTTATATTGAGGTCTCTATTGGTATCTGGAATTGAGATATGGAGGTGGTTTTAGAAATGTGTACAATTATTGTACGAATAGTACTAAATGGTACTAAATTCGGTATTAAGTGAAGGGATAAGGCTGAAATTCTCAAATTTGATATTGAGATCTCTGTTGGTATTTGGAATTGAGATAAGGAGGCGGTTTTGGAAATGAATTATAATTGTACGAAAAGTACTGAATGGTACTAAATTTGATATTGGATGAGGGGACAAGGCTGGAATTCTAAAATTTCATATTGAGGTAGCCGTTGGTATCTGGAATTGAGATTTGGCAGTGGTCTTGGAAAAGTGTACTATAATTGTACGAAGAGTACTGAATGGTACTAAATTTGGCATTGGGTGAAAGGACAAGGCTGGAATCCTCCAATTTGATATTGAGGTCTCCGTTGGTATCTGGAATTGAGATAAGGAGGCGGTTTTGGAAATGAATTATAATTGTACGAAAAGTACTGAATGGTACTAAATTTGGTATTGGATGAAGGGACAAGGCTGGAATTCTAAAATTTCATATTGAGGTCTCTATTGGTATTTGGAATTGAGATATTGAGGAGGTTTGGAAATGCTTCTTATATTTGTACGGAAATTGCTAAATGGTACTAAATTTGACATTATTTGAAGGGATAGGGCTGGAATCCTCAAATTTTATATTAAGGTCTCTATTGGTATCTGGAATTGAGATATGGAGGTGGTTTTAGAAATGTGTACAATTATTGTACGAAAAATACTAAATGGTACTAAATTTGGTATTGGGTGAAGGGACAAGGATGGAATCCTCAAATTTGATATTGAGGTCTCCGTTGGTATCTGGAATTGAGATATGGAGGAGGCTTAGAAATGCGTCTTATATTTGTACGAAAATTACTAAATGGTACTAAATTTGGCATTGGGTGAAGGGACAAGGCTGGAATCCTCCAATTTGATATTGAGGTCTCCGTTGGTATCTGGAATTGAGATAAGGAGGCGGTTTTGGAAATGAATTATAATTGTACGAAAAGTACTGAATGGTACTAAATTTGGTATTGGATGAAGGGACAAGGCTGGAATTCTAAAATTTCATATTTAGGTCTCTATTGGTATCTGGAATTGAGATATTGAGGAGGTTCGGAAATGCTTCTTATATTTGTACGGAAATTGCTAAATGGTACTAAATTTGACATTATTTGAAGGAATAGGGCTGGAATCCTCAAATTTTATATTAAGGTCGCTATTGGTATCTGGAATTGAGATATGGAGGTGGTTTTAGAAATGTGTACAATTATTGTACAAAAATACTAAATGGTACTAAATTGGATATTGGGTGAAGGGACAAGGCTGGAAAGCTTTAATTTGATATTGAGGTCTCCGTTGGTATCTCGAACTGAGATAAGGAGGCGATCTTGAAAATGTGTACTATAATTGTACGAAAAGTACCAAGTGGTACTAAATTGGGTATTCAGTGAAGGGATAAAGCTTAACAGCCTGTTCCACGATCTCGAAAGAAAATTTGTGCGAACGAAGGCTACTCACTCACTTTCGTATAAAAATGCGTTCCACTAACTTTCGTTCTTTCTTTCGCATAGCCTTACGTGATTCAGTGTTGCTAAATATTTTTTTGGAAAAATTAATCGCGAAATAAAGCAAAAAAAGCGTCAAATGTCTAATTTAAACGCGAAAAAGCAGCAGTGGCTCTGTCTCAACTGACATTTCAGTTGTAAACAAACAAATTGTAAATAAACAAACAAAACAAAATTTCTAGTGATTGTGTTCAAACTATTTGTGATCTTAGAAAATAAAAAAAAGAATATTTCCGTAGCCCTATTTTTTATGGAGGAGGTTCGAAATGTGCCACGGAGGCATTTAAGAGATGCTTCGAATTTATTTGAAGTACCTAACAACCAGTAAGTATGAATGTATTTTTACATTTTTGAAATAATAAAAAATGATTTTTTCTAGGTTTGTGGCCAACTTTCGTGTGTCGAAGGAAGTTTTCGGGCTCTTTTGGATATGATGGAAGAGACGTGGGTGCCCGGTTGCAGAACTACCCAAATCCGCCCCGATTTAAAACTTCTTCTGCTGCTTCCAAAAATTGGCATTCCTCTGGCGAACACAGGATTCTCCTCCATTTACTCAACTAGTGCCCGCAGCTGTGTAGTTGATGATTTTTTCGTGCTGGAATTGAGAAAATAAAAAAAATATATATTTGTTGTTCACATATTAAATTGCATTTATTATTTTTACTTACATTTTTGTTTCCATTTTCAATCAAGCAATGTTTATGTTAAAACAATTTTCCTTAATTGTTATTATACGATAGCAAACACACAAGTGACTGATTTTGACATTTGTGTTCGCATGCGTACGAAAGAAAAAAGATAGTGGAACGCAAAATTACACTGAAATGCTTACGTTTTCGTTCGCTTTGATTTTCGTGCAAATTTTCGTTCTGATAGATTTTAGTGGAACGGAAATCAGCTGTTTGTCGTGTAAAAGTTGTGCGAACGTGTTCTTTCGATATCGTGGAACTGGCTGTAAGTTCTGAAATTTGATATTAAATTCACTGTGGGTTTCTAGGGTTGTCAAATTAAACTAATTGTTCTCTGTTGGAACGGATCTAACATTTAAAAGTGGGCACTCTGCTAGTTTCGGATATAACTACAGACTCTCGATAGTTCTCCATATTCCATTCCATTTCTCTCTCTCTCTCTCTCTCTCTCTCTCTCATTACCAATGGACACTGGAGACAATGCCTTAAAATGTTGCTATACATATTTTTAAAATACTCAGTATCCTAGGCCTCTAATGAGATATATCAAAGGTGGCACTGAAAATCCCAAAAAATCCCAAAATGTTCAAAATCGAAGAATGTCGGAAATTATATTTTATTATATTTTTTTATTTCAATTTGAATTTTTCAACCTAAAACCGGAATTTTCAGAACCATTTATTGACAGCATATTCTTCAGATGTTGAGCACAAATTTGGATACAAGGGATTGGCGCCGGTGGTGCAGGATTCAGCTGCCTTATCGCAACGTTCATAAATGGGGAAGTTAATCATATTCGTTGTGGCATAATTGCAGGTTACCAAATAAGCTTTATACGTTTCACCTTCAACCGAATAAGTGGCAGCGGCACAGCCAACGCGAACATTACGATCCGCCACCATGACGGTGAAATGGCCAATAGCTCTACAAATACAAAAAATTAAGGTAAGTCGAAATTATCCACCCACCTTTTTAAAAACTTACGGTCCAGTATAGTTCTTGGGATATTTATTGATGTAATCCATTTTACTATCGGCCACCTCACTGTACCAGAAGTCCACGGCCTTTTCCAGTAGGCTTGCATCGTTAGCCGTACCATGGTAACCCAACCAGGCAATATTCTGACCGGAATATTTGAAATCATCGGTATTGCGGCATCGGTCATGTTTCAAATCGCACTGCAGGACATTTAGGGCAGCCAATAGCGACAATTCATCGTCCCATTGAATGGTAGCCATTCGGCAAGCAGGCTCATGTTTCTCCTCATCACCACCAGCAATTAGATTACGTTTGGCATTGTGGGCATTGACTAAGACCTCCTTTAATTGGTCATCAATTTCGACTAATTTGGCATCGGAGGGACAGACCTCAGATAATTCCTGAAATAAAATTTACGTATCATTAAAGAAGGGATAGGTATGACTTTTGAAACTTACCCCATCGTGGCCACAGGCAATGTGATTAACGCCCTCCTTGCACAGAGAAGGAGAACAATAATCGGTGGCCTTGGCCAGGGACAGGAATGCAAATAAAATTCCAGAGAACAATGAAAACTGGGCCATATTTCTTTACTTCTACTTCTTCTTCCTAATGTCCAAGTTGGGTTCTATAGTTGAAACGTAGGCTGAACAACTGATGCCTATCTTCGAATCGAGGTGCATCTTTATACAGAATTTTGTGCAAACATAGAAATTATTACACAACACCGGGGACTAGCAGATATGAAGTCCATCCGACAGGTTATGAATATCAAATAGGTTTTCACTTTTTCACGAACAAAAAGTACA